CTGGCTATGTTGAAAGAAGGGGGGGGGGGTGGCGAAAAAAATTCTGCCCCGGGCACCCATAACTCTGGTTACGCCACTGAATGGAGCCACCCTTGTGTGTGCTAGTAAGCCGTTTGTGTCTCCATAAAACACACACAACACAGCAAAGCAAGCCACTCTCCTTCTCCCTGCTCCTCCCTCTTCTCCAAGCTAGTAGATAGACAGCTGCTGGACTCTGTGATCTTGTACAGGACAAGACGTTCAGGGAGGAGGAGCTAAGAGATGATAGATCCAGCTTTTCAGAAACACGATGACTAAGTTCTTGGGCAACAATGTAAACACATACATAAATGTATGTTTGCTTGATTGGATTAATTATTGAAAATAAGTTTGAGAGTTTAATACTGCTTTGGTGGGTGGAAAAGTCCAATGATGCTCCACATCACCCTTCTGATAGCTAAACTCTAGGCAGATAAATAGACATAAATAAAGTTTTGACTTTAGTTGCACTTTAAAAATTCAATAAACATATATTTGTTAAATGCAGGCAGTGTAAGTACATGAATCAGGCTCTTGCAGTCCTAGTGCAGCAAAGTGAGAGGACGAAGCAGCAAAAGGAGCCAATTAGTTCACCTGCTGACAAGAAGCATACAGATAGGAAGAAAAGCAGAGTGACAGAGAGATGAACTCATCATTCTGCTGCTTTTCATTTCACTATCCAGTCACAGGCTGGGGTGAGTTTAGGATGACCTGGTATCAGAGGAAGCAGGCTGCATGATGCTGGCCATCAGACTGAGGACATCTAGTTGCATAAAAAGTACTGTAGAGGAAATCTGTGGATTGAGGTTGAATATTTCAGCCAAATATGCTTTTGTTATTTTATCTTTTAATTGGCTAATAATTTGTATCATGTTATTTTTGGATGTAGTCCTTTCACCGCTTTAACTTTGACCACCCATAGCCTTAACATACTTAACATACTTCTTAATCATGCATGAATTATCTGTAGGAATAATCATTTCATAAATGATAATTATGTCCTCTATTAGAAAAAGTACATGTAAAAAATACACCCGGTGATCCGGGCAGTATCACACTTCCTGTCTTAGGGTGACTCCAATCTATGGAGGACAATGGATCCCCCCTTGGACTTTCATCCTGTGGAGAAGGTAGTGTAAGATGGGCTTGACTAACAAATTAGATCTGAACTCAGCCAACACTTTTTAAGCAGTTACAGCAAAGTTTTTTTTTTTCCTTTAGGGATAAAGGTTTTATATAAATGAATAAAAGCGGACAATTTTAAGCCTCACCGTCAGTATCAAATCTTTTGCCTCAACCTTCTATCTGCCACTTTTGCTGGACAGCTTGAGCTAGTAAAGGAAGTAGAAAAATAAAAGATCGGATCACCAGGTGAAAATAAAGGAAAAAATAAAACTATTGCAGTACCACATTTAAGGATTGGTAAACTGATACAGATCACATTTTTATTTGGGTTTTAGATCCTATACTGAAAAATGGCCTGCATGGGAAGGGGGTTTAACACCGCGGATGTCAACTGGTTAAGGATAAAAGGAATTGCAAATTCATTTTCATGTTTCAAAAGCAGGTTTAAGATTGAATTATCAAAAAATATATTTTTAAAAACACTAGTTTGTTAGACAGAACAGAAGTATCTTCATGCTTCATTGTCCGCCTGCAAGCATTATAGGACTATACAAGAAGAAAAGGCATTAGTCAGACATTTACAGGACAGTGTGATTACACTAACTGTATGTACACAACACATTCCCAGCAGAGCTAAACCAGATGTGCAGGTAACAAACTGTGCCTGTCTCCTTGGTCAGAAAAATGTCTTAGTAGGAGGAGTAGTGTTCCTCTTGAATTCCTGCTGTGTAGCGTACAACTAAAGTGCACCTGTCAGGGGAGAAATATGGGGACTGCTACAAGTGCTTTCAAAAATACTAGATGCATGATTATTTTTCTGTTCAGTACTTAGTCACATGTCCAGAACAAGTATGAGTTAAGAAATTCCAACTTTCGTTATCTCTCCAAGTTCCAGGTCAAAAGCTCAGAAAGCTATTGAAGGCAAAACATTAAAGTGGGAGACAGGCAAATCAACATTTGCAGATGGAGGGGTCAGCAATCAGGGCCTACATTTTTATCTCATGATAGGTTTCCTTTAAAATGACTCCTTCACTTGAAAAAATAAGAAAGCACGTCATGGGCCCATTCATTTCTTTTAGGTGAGCTATATTCTGCTAAACAGCTGGAATACAGCTCACTCAAAGAAATAATTTAGGACAACGACATGCATGTATACTAAGATGATCTACTGGGGAGGTTTATTATTATTTAAAGGGCAAGTTCACAAAAAATGACTTTTTTCTTTAAGTGATCCATTAATTGTAAGTTACAAGGAAGAAAGCAGAATGGAAAGGCATACAACTTATACATGCTCTTCAGATGCCTTTGACAATAATGGACACTATGGTTGGCTTAGTTTTTATATAATAACACCACAAAAAGCCGCCAAAAAACGGTGTGCTCCACCAATGTACAAACAAAGGGATGTTCCATGCAATGATGAAAGAACTGCCAGTATGTAGGTCATAGAAGCCCTATATATATGCACACGGATTCGCAATTACACTTAGAATCTAAAAGGTTTTACTTACCTCCATGGCAAAAAAATATGTATTTTTTTCCAAATAATAATATAAGGAGTTCTATAATTGTTCAAGAGAAGGGGGCGGGGGTGTGGCATCATTTCTCCTCCTCCAATCACAGAATACCTTCTATTCTTTGAAGAAATACAACGCATTTTGTGAATGGGCACGTATTAAGGAGGGGTGTGTGAGGTGACCTTATTATTTCACTGCTTGAGTCACATCTCACCTCTCCTCTGAGCCCGAAAGACTGATGTTATGTGTAGGAGACAATGCACTGCCAGGTAAGATTTTTATACTTTGCAGTGGCCCTCCACACAAAACATGCAGCTTTTAATGATACATTTACACATCCAGTGCAGTGTGTAAATTATCATTATTGTGGAGTTGAGATTAAAACCTAAAAACCACACCCATGCCATCAGTTTATATTTTTTTTTAAACAAACATGTTTATCCACTCAAAAACGTAAGTGGATAAAGTCCTATGACTAGGACACTACCTGAAGGAGGGAATCTTTACATGTGGCACAGAAGATTGTTTGTTTTAATGTCAAATTCAGATTTCTCAGGAAACCTGCACTGGGGGGTTCAAACAATATTTTGCAACAGGTGAAAAAATTGACAAGATTAGATATTTTTGAGAGCTTTGCAGACCTAAGCGTGTTCTAACCAAGATGTTTTCGTTTTAGATCTTAAGATTTCCTGGATCTTTTATCCTAAGGCAGAAATGCCTTGTGTGAGATTATGCCATTATCCTGAACACAGAACAGAACTACAGGTTGCTTTAGTTGGATATTTACATGCTATGTGACTGTTCTATCTGCATTCTACCAATACCTGTACACTTTCACACAATTCTGATGGGTCATTCATGTCACACTTCCCAACATTTTATTTTAAATAGGTTTAAATTCTAGATAACATTCAAGCAACTATGTCATGAAAAAAAGGGAACCTAGTGCCTGCACATTTCCCTAATGCCCAAATGCTTGACTGTTCTGATAAACCGCTCTAATACTTTACAGAAGTGTTGAAGTTTGCCAGCTCCCACCCACCTCCAACAGATTCCTACTGACCCATCACCATGAAGGCAAGCTTTGAGATGACCAGGGAGTGCCAGAGCTTTGTCAGTCAAGCTCGGTCCAGCCGTTGGGTGCAGCAACGGGAATTTGCAGACCTAGAATTGCCATTTAAAAAACGGGGGAAAAAAAGTCCATTAATGGTAATACCATAATGCAAGT